CTTGTATTAAAATTGTGTATATGAAAGGGACTATGCACTCACTTGATAAGACGATGCTCGGACAGCACTACGGCTCTTAAAGCAGTATTCCTCGGTGAAACTGTGATCTCTCCACACATCGGTCTTCTCGTGGGCAGAGCTTCGGCTCGGAAACTCTTTTCTTCTCGGGATCTTCGGAGCTTCGGGACTCGCTTTGGGTCTCGGGATGATATCGGGGCTTTGGGGGTATAACTTGCACGTAAATCGAGGTAATACGGGTGAGAGGAAAGAAATTGATACCTAGCCTACAAAGGTTAACCTAGACTATTACATCCATATTAATGCCTAGCCTAGAAACACGGGCGTTACAAAATATGTCATGCATGAACGTAAAGATCGAAGCTTTATGTGACATTCGGACCTTGGGAGGCTAGATCTAGAGTTTGGAGTGGTAGATCTACCTTAAAACGTCTGAATGAGAATGTGACTTAAGGGAATCGATGAGTCAATGAGCTGACTCGACGAGTCGGCTAGGGTTTTCCCCGATGAGTATAGAAAAGGGTAACTCGACGAGTTGATGAGACAACTCGACGAGTTAAGTTGGGTTTTCGCGATGATGATATGAGGAACAATGGGGACTCGGCGAGTCACATAGATGCACTCTGCGAGTCAGGTCAACATGGTCAGTTGACTCGAGTGTTGACTTCTGTTGACTTTAGGGTTTGGTCACGGCAGGGATTATGCGACCATGGAGGGGTAAAATGGTCTTTTACCCATCCCAAGAGTTAGAGAGGGATTAACATGAGTTTATACAAAGTTGTGATCTTTAAGTGTTAAATAGAGATACTTATTGCGTGTATGCGGAGATTAGACTGTTCGAGGGGTATCTAGTTTTCCTTGCTTACTTATAAGGTAAGTCTTCTCACTATACTTAGCATGAGTGGTATCTTTGTGCGACCGGAGGGTCCTATGTGCTTACTTGAGTTATATTATATTATGTATTTTGTCTGTGTGATATATATGTTATATTCTGTGTTTACTGAGATAGGACCGGAGGGTCCAAACCGAGTTGTGGGACCGGAGGGTCTTCATTGAGATACTGGACGGGAGGGTCCAAATCGAGCTGTGAGACCGGAGGGTCCTCACTGAGACACATGACAGGAGGGTCCACACCGAGACGCACGAGACTGGAGGATCCATGACAAGTTATAGCCATGAGAGGCTTATTATTTGCGTATGTGGTGTTTTGAGGAACTCACTAAGCTTCGTGCTTACCGTGTGGTGTGATATGTGTTTCAAGTACTTCTCAGGACCGCGGGAAGGCGTCGGCATGATTGTACACACCTGTTCGAGACTACGTTGAGGATTCTGGGATTTGACTTTATTTGTGGATTTATGTTAACATTTGAGACATTTGTGGTTTTATGAAATATAATTTATGAGTTTTATGTGCTTTTAAAAATGAAAAATTTGGTTTGAAAATTTACGGTGTTACAGCCTCGATCATATGTTGTACATGAAACCATGAAACCAACAACTGTAAGCCAAAGCTTAGTAAGTTCCCCCAAAATACCACACACAACAATACATATACAATGCATGCACACTAGCCCACAACATCAGACTAGATTGCCCCTGAGCACACCACATGAGACTGGATTGCCCGTTCCCGGCCCGCAACTCATGATTGGCTTGCTCCCAAACCCAAAACATAAGACTGGATTGCTCCCGAGTTTGTTGGCTTACAGAACAAAGCAGTACCACCTCAACCTAATATGCAAACATTAATCAAATACCAGAAAATACACATAATCATACAGATCTACCAATCTAACAGATCACTATAACATAGTAGCATCCCATAACCAAGGATAAATAACATAATATAGTGGGCCGACATTGGTGTCTTCGACCACGAGTATAGTGAGAAAAATTCACCTCAACATCTAGAAGATAGCAATAACGATCACTGATCCGATAACCGACTCTACGGGTCACCTATATAACAAAACAGGGACCAAATCTCGATCTACAACTCAAAATACCCAATTTGACCTGAAGTCAAACTTGGTCAAGTCAACGGTCAACGGTCAAAGGTCATCAACTGGTCGTCACGACGTGGACAAGCTAATCCATGTCGTGGGGATAATAGGAAAAAACAGACGCGATTCATCAAAATGCAACGGTGTGGCGACTAATCCCACACGCCGTGACAACTATCCAGACCAGCTTAAATCATTAAGCTCTTAATCCTTTTCGCCACTCATTCAAACTTTCCAGAATTCTTCCATACTCCTAAAAGATCATAAAAATCATAGCTTTATAGACATGCATGTCCAATTCATGTCTTGAGCTCAAGCTAGGTCAAAAAGGTGTAAAAATGGGGTCAAGATCACATGCAAGAGTTCAAAATTCTACCAAACTTCAGATCTATCACTTCAAACTATAAAGGGACTCTGGGGATCCATAAAGTTGGCAACTTTATGGAACCTCAACATTCCAACTAGCCTAAATATGAAGAAAAGCACATGAAAACATCGATCTAAGCACATTGAGTCATAAAGCTTGGGACTTGGGGACTTAAAAGAGTCCAAAAGGTGTGCACAAAGAAGATGGTGAGGCTTGCAAGCTGATATGATGCGCTAAGACTCCTTCTCTTATAATTCAAGGACTTCAACAATGGAGCTAGGGTTTCAATGAGAAAGGAAGAGATGTGATGGAGGCTGAGGGTGTGCAAACCCTAGGGGCATAAACCCCGAAAACTAGAGTTTCCCATTAAATGGTGGCCACGCTGTGGCGCCAACTTAACCTTCATGCAAACTCAGGCCATGGCCACGTTGTGGGGACTCATTCACCTCACTGTGGCCACCGAGAATCCAACAACTTTAAACAAGAATTTTAAGAAGAACATACCAGAAAACTTGGCATTACACATGATATCCTAAGAACGGGATAAAGGAATACTTTATTAGGAATGTACATCCCTTCAAGAAGTAGATGTTTAGCGATAACTTAATAATTTGATCTGTTCTTCCTATTTTGTTAAGGTTGATAGGGTTTCATTCTGATAATAAATTATGCCCAAACCCATGTAGCAAACAATACAACTTTATCTTATGTATTTGTTTATGCCATGTATCTCACGTTCAATGATAAAAGGTCAGAAGATGCTAGCCTTAGAAGTGGACTTTTGAAGGACTAAGAGCATCTCCAACCCACTCTCATTCTCCATTTATTCCCACATTTCTTCCCCCATTCTTCTCCAACCCTCCCCCATTTATTCCCCCATTTTGGGGGATATGAATAGTATTACACCAAATATGGTGTTATACTATTCATTTCTCCCAAACTGGGGATGAACTTTACGTTGTCGGTTTTAGTCACTCTGTTATATATTTATACATTTCTAGTTCATTTTTACATACTAATTATAATTTAAATATAATATTTAATACTTACAATATTTTGTTATATATTAAATTATATTAATTAATTATAAATATAAATTTTGTTTTTTGTTCATCAAATTCATATAAAAATTTAAATACATATTGAAATTTTAAAAAACGATAACGTATTATTTAGAAAAACTTATAATTAAAATATATACTAAAAACACATGATAACATATGCTATTGAACATGTAGTTAACCTATATATTACTATAATAATCTAATAAAAACCAACAAGTGACAATACTATTATTTATTTATTTAATATTTATTTAAAAGTGTGTATGTGTAATATTTTTATAAATGCATGTATAATATTTATTTATAAGTTTATTATAAATATAATCTTTTGTATTTAATATTAATGTAATGAAAAAAATATAGATTATATATTTGTTAAAACTAAATTAGTAGAGGGGTGTGTTTGACAATCTATGTAACTTTGAATAATGGAATATACTATGAATATAGTTTTGGGGGGTAAAAATGGGGTAGGGTTGGAGATAAATACTATTTGCCCTATTTTTTACTCTATTTTTGGGAAAAAATGGAGATGGGATGGAGATGGTCTAACATAGTTTTTTTTATGTAATTTATTTCTTTACCATGGTTTTGGTGTGATAGTAAGTTGTAACACTCAATGCAGGTTGTATTTTGAAACAAAATGATGTTGTTTTTGTGCGGGACCGTACTTTGGTAAATTATGACTTTTTATCGCAAAATATTTGAAAACCTAGTTTTTTTAAACCATAAAAAATGGGGTGTTACCCTAGCCTTGTAAGGCTTGTAGCATAAATGTCATGTCTTTTGTACGCAAAAGGGAGGGGTTGTGCAAATGCGAACACAAATGGATTGGGAAGGGGTTCAATAAACTTGCGAGCGAGCACATCCTATGGACATGAATGAACTACTGATTGACTAAAAAATCTTACAGGATTTTTGGTAAATATTTCTTTGCAACTGATTTACTTTTTTCCTCCAATTTTGGTTCGACCGGACTACAAAAAAGAGCGTCTAGCGGTTGTATCAATGATACAACTAGCCACTGCACTACATATGGTCTCATTCCTAATGTTCTTGCCCAAATTAATTTCGTATCATGAGAATATATACAACCACTTATTATAGAAGATTAGTGGATGTCGTCAAATGTAACTTTGTGTCACCTTTATCGGTTGAAATAGATAGATACTTTACACTATCTCATTTGATTGGTATACCCTGATATAAACTTTTAACGCATACTTTTGGTTTGTTGAAAAATTTAAAGTTCGTTAGACTTTTCCGTAGTTTAATCACTAAAATGTTTGTTAAAACTAATTTCTAAAAGTGTTTCAATTCACTATTCCAAACTAATCATACCAGAGGATATCTCTCCCCTTCTAGCATTATCAAAACAAAATTCATCTTTCATTCAATATAAACTTCACAACAATTACAATAAACATCAACAATCATTGTTCCAATGTATATGTACTAAAAGTCTAAAATACAAACACACCAACAAACAAACAAAGAAGCATTATCAAAACAAAAAGCAAGGTACCAAGAAATAGAAACCTTATAGTATTACTTTGATTCAGTCAACTCCAAACTGAAATCCCACAACTTCTTAACCATTTCTGAATCATCAACATATTTGCTTGCTTTGGATATGTTACAATCAGCAAAATACTCACCACTAACACCTTTCACTTGTGGATGCATAGCTACATAGCATGTAGTTGCAGCTCCTTGTGGGATATTTTTCAACAGACTAAAAGCTATCTTGCTTAATATTGAGGCCACAAATCCTTGGTTACGTAAAAGATTGGTTTTAATAACTCCAGGGTGTAATGAATTCACACTCACATTCACACCTTCTTCCCGATTCCACCAAAGTAAAAGTATATTAAATTCATGGGTCAAAAAAAACTTTGTATTTTTATATAAGAAAAAAGTCAAAAGCAATCACCTTGAGGCACCTTGATATCTCCTTAGCATGTAATGAATTAGCAAGCTTTGATTGCCCATAAGCATGAAAAGCACTATAGCTGAAATCAAGAAAATCAAGTGAATTATTTGTTTTATGAATTATGTTATAATAATAATAATAATAATAATAATAATAAAATACCTCTTTTCATCGTTGATCTTGTCAAACCTAATTCCCTCAGGGTATGCCATCTTCTGAAGCTCAGATGAAACAACAACTATCCTTCCTTCTTTTTGGGTTTTACTTGAAGTCTTTTTCATTGTATCCAACAACAAATTTGTCAAAAGAAAATGACCTAAAACAAAACAAAACCATAAGAACAAGGTTTATTAAAGAACATTTTCATTTTACATTATCTTTCTTTTTTGTGTTTAATAAACATTAAGTCATTAACACTAACATACCAATATGGTTGGTTGCAAACTGCAATTCTATGTTGTCTTTTGAAAGAGTGAATGGAGGAGACATGATTCCTGCATTGAGACTTATAAAAGAGACATAAAAAAAAAGTCAAAAATGCAACTTTCAAGAATTGGAATCTTGAAATCTTGATGAAGGAATTGGTTTTATACATTAGGATGTTTAAAGGAAGATCCTTTGAAATGTATTGAGATGCGAAATCCCTTACAGATGCATGTGAGCTTAAATCTAACTCCATTACATCGATTTTGGCATTTGGGATTTTCTCACAAATACTTGCTTTGACTTTTTGACCAAGTTCCACGTTTCTGACTGGCATCACCACGTGGACCCCACGTAAGGCAAGAACACAGGCTGTTTCTAAGCCAATACCACTTGAAGCTCCTAAATATTCACAAATTTATTGCAGGGTTAGTGATATAACAGAAGGAATTGGTGGATTTATATATTATAAGAGTCTTGTTATGTCAATGATTTGTAAAGTTTATTGTTAAAAGATAGTTGAAAAATTGTCATCATGAATTTAATAGGTTAAAAGAGTCATCCCGTGACACGTGGTATCAGAGCCAGAGTTCGTACGAGCAAGAGATCGTAGCAATGGAAGGAGGAAGTGATGTAGCTAACATTCCCCCTGTCGTCGAAGAAAAAGGAAGGAAGTCCAAGAGGAGGGACTAATTCGTTGACCCTTTGGCAAGCTTAGAAAACAAGCTTACAAAGGTGGAGATTAGCGTCGATGAGATCCTTGAGTGGAAGGATATCGTCGATCAGTTCGTTGCAGAGATAAGTGACACGAGCGATGGATTAAAGGAGACCATCGGTGTCATCAAAGAAGAAGTCCTTGGACTTATCAACACCTTGCGGAATGAGTTCCGTGAGAAGGTAGCTACGCTGGAAGCCGAAGTAAACTTGTGCAACGAAGCAATCGTCGGAGGAGCCGTTGTGAGTAAGTTTCCACACACGGACACACTCAAACCATTGAAGTATGGAGGAAAACGCGACCCTAAAGAACTTGGCGAATTCTTTTGGTCGATGGAATGTTACCTCAATGCTAGTCAAGTAAAGGAAGATAAGAAGAAGGTCGACACGGCAATCCTTTACCTATGTGAAAGTGCAGCTCTATGGTGGAGAAGGAAGCACGGAGACATTGAAAAGGGCTTACACACCATAGACACCTGGGAAGAGTTCAGGAGGCAACTTAAGAGACAATTTTGCCCACATAATGCTGAAGACATAGCGATGAAGAAACTTCATGGGTTAAAGCATAGTGGATCCATCCGAGACTACATAGTCGAGTTCACGAGCTTGATGCTAGAGTTACCCGACATGCAAGAGAAAGACAAACTATTTTATTTCATGGATGGACTACAATCTTGGGCTTATAATGAGCTCAAGAGGAGAAATGTTAGAGACATCGACGAAGCTATCGCCGTGGCAGAAGATCTAATGGAATTTCGGAGAGAAAGCACGATTAAGAAGAATGGTGGGGGAAAAAACTATGTCAGAAATGGAGCCAAAACAAGACACACCCCAACCTTTGAATAAGAAAGGAAAAGCAATAGAAGGAAGATACCGAAGAGAAGAACGGAAGGAGATCAAGTGCTACTTGTGTGATGGTCCTCACTTGATCCGAGACTGTCCGAAGAAAAAAACCTTCTATGCGATGGTGTTGCAAGAAGAAGAAGACAAAGCACAAATAAGCTCAATGCGTTTTTTGAACTCAATATCGAAAGATGAGATAAAATCGTCTAAGAGGGAAGAAAATAAAGGAGGGAGTCTTATGTTCGTAGAAGCCAAAGTGAATGCAAGGAACACTAAGGCGCTAGTAGATTCCGGAGCAACACATAGTTTCATCGCAGAGGAAGAAGCAAGGAAGTTGGGTATTCATTATACAAAAGAGTTAGGTCGGTTGAAGGTTGTCAACTCTCCATCTAATCCGATCCTCGGAGTTTCTCGTGGAATACCCATGAAGATTGCAGAATGGGAAGGGACCATCGACTTGATAGTGGTTCCGATGGACGACTATCGCATGGTACTAGGAATGGATTTCCTGGATATGGTATGTCCTTGGTCGTTCGAAAGAGACAACACGATGCATATGACCAAGGGATCAACTATCCATATAATTCCCTTGGAAAGAAGAAAGACAAAAGCTCGATCCCTTTCAACTATGAAGATGTGTTATGGCCAGAGCAATATAATCAAGAAGAATATGAAGCCAAAAAGGGAAGTTCGAATAAAGGAGGCACGTTTGAAGGAACAGGGATCCATATCCCACTTGATAAGTTACTCAAGGTTTTACGAGGCTGAGAGAAGAAGTAGGGTTCAAAGTACATTGAGAAATAAATGCACACCTTACTCGAAGTGATACTTTGGAGAAAACGAAAACACACAAAGTAGCCCCGTGACAAGATCAAGACATATGTATAGAAGACTTGACGAGGACGTCAAGGGTTTAAGTGGGGGAGGGTGTCACGGACCAAGTTTCTGGAAAATTCTACGATCGTCTAGAGAACTCCGGAACGATCAAGTATACTCAAGAAGTCTCCGGAGAGATCAGAAATGCTCTACGAGACCCTAGAAGATGCTAGAATATTGTAGATGTCTGTGGAACAAAGGAGAACGATCTAGAATAATCAAGAGGACGCTAGATGAAGCTAGAACGACCTGGAAATCTTTGGAAGGATCTAGAACTTGCTAGATCATACAAGAGAAATTTGGATAATGTCGGGACAACCTAGAACCTTCTAGAGCATCGTAGACAAGTATACCATTTTCTAGAGTCTTGTAAAGGCCATGTAAATAATAAGAAGAGTCTAGATTAGTCAAGAATGATCAGGACCTAGAAACTTCCATTTGAGGAGGTGTAAGGTGCCTATAAATAGGAAGGATGTCTCATTTGTAGGAATCATTGAGAAGTTGCCTTGTAAAGTAGTCGAGTCTTATATAGAAGCTTTATTTCTTACTTCGTAGCATTCCTTATTGCATCTCTTGCTATCCTAGTCGTTAGTACATCGTGAGGAAGCGTTCCACGCCTGACTTCGTCGAAGAAGCACTAAGTGGCACACGGTATTGACTAGTATAAAAGAGTCATCCCGTGACAGATGGCACCAGAGTGCACTTTGACACGAATGCTTTCAATCTTTTAGGAATTACGACTTCTTGGATCCACATGTCAGTAGCAAAGTTATAGTATTGTAAAATCATAATCATCATGTCTGTAAGACTTATCTCAAAGACAATTTCATTTGTCTCTTTTATATAACACAGAGGATAAGTAATGTTTTCTAAGCCCATGATTGTATATGGCTTCCAAGAGTTGACATCTGTGAATTTCTCCAATAACCATAATTTGTAATCTTTGAACAGTGACAGTTTTCCCTGAATTACAAGCATTCTGATATCCTCTTCTGCGCACCTATCGCTGACATTTATCTGATGTGGAAATCCTAATTGTTCGAATGATTCTTTCGTCAAATCAAAACAAGCTATAACTGGCTCCAGTTTTGGATTAATAACAAGTATCCAGTGTAACTGATTATTCAGAAGTACACCATGGGAGGCCCTATTCAAATTCCATGGTTTTGGAGTTGGTATTGAATAAGCTTTGTTCAATGTGAGGTAGTAGACTCTAATATGCATGTTGTTGGTTTTCTTCTCCTCCTCCTCCTCCTCCTTACTCTTTTTTACAAAATAGTGAATAGTTACAACTTTATAGTGCCCAGATGATGCATCACGACCAAATCCTAATGACATCCTTGAATAAGCATTTTTCAGAGATTTGGGAGCGTCAATGGGGTGTTTGAACACCTGATTCTTGATTGGGTTAATAACATAGAATGAATGTTCGTCTTTCATGGCAAGTACCAACCCATTAAAGGCACCAACGAGCTCAAGCGGTTCTGGGAATCGGTGGATTGGAGATCGCAATCGGGGTTTCAACGAGTCAATCATGTAGTACGTATTTCGTTCGGAATGCATAATATGTGTGGACAGCTTTCGCTTTTTGGCGTGAAACTTCACAAATTGGTCGTTGGAGATGACCCGACCCCATTTCTTTGAAACCTTTGTAAACCGGCCTAGATCTTTGATGGGAACTCGAACAAAGCATTCTTTCAATAGTTCGTCGGGGAGGCGTTCGATGGAATCAGCCGGCAAGGACTTAACGGTTTCGTCAGAGAAATATTGATTGGAAGGGAATAAGGTAGGAGGCGACGAGGATTCGTCGGTAAGGTGTTGAATGGAGGTCAAAAGGGGCGGAGGCGAGGAGGTTTCGCTGATATCGTCCGAAAGATAGGAAAAAGGCGGCAAAGAAGCAGCCGGAAAGGACTTAACGGTTTCGTCGGAAATATCTTGAATGGAGTGGAATAAGGTAGGAGGCGACGAGGATTCGCCAGTAGGGTGTTGAATGGAGGTCAAAAGGGGTGGAGGCGAAGTGGTTTCGCCAACATCGTCCGAAGGATAGGTAACAGGCGGCAGAGAAGGAGGTAATAGGGCTAGCGGCGACGAGGATTCACCCGAAAGACATTGAATGGATGGCCATAGGGGCGGAGGCGACGAGGTTTCGCCGATCTCATTGGAAAGATACGAAAGAATCGGTGGTGGCTGAGAGCCTGGAGAGTCATCGAGGCCGTCGGAGTGCGGCATTTACACGGCGGAGTAGCTTCTTTAACTGATGCTGTAAAAAGTAAAATAATGTGGGCCTGATTTAACGCTGTATATAATTAAAAAAAAAACTATCCCTATTGTATCTTGGCTAACGGCTAGTTTACGAGGATTTCGCAGAATAGTATAATCATCATCTATCATGTCCTTTCATCACGTCATGCAACATCATTTTCCGATTTTTTACATTTTAGATTTTTTTTACCAACAATGGTTCTTAATTTTACATTTCCGATTTTAATTTTACATTTTATATTTAGTGACACACCGCCATGTGGCATCTCCAGCAAGTTGCCATCGAACTTCAATTTAACATCACTAAATGTGCCCATTTTTTAAAAATTGGGATTCTCCCAATTTTTGAACACAAATTCAGAACCTGGTTTCATTATGAAAAAATATAATTGGTTGCGTATATTTCCTCAGTGATACATTCCTTTTGGTGTATTGGAATGAATAATTAATCTTTAAACTAGGTAGTTGGAATAATTAGATATAAAAGTTGAATGGGTTTTAAGGCTTCCCACATAGTTGCCATGAGGAAAAAGAAACGAGTATATAAGTCAAAAGGTTGTTTAGAAGTTTAGATAACATTTATGATATGAAATGTACGAGCTTAAGTGAAGAATAATGTGTTATAAGGGTGGACGGAATCGT